TAAGGTGGAAATGGCTTATCATAAAAGCACAACGGCTATGCACCAGCACCTCAAACGCATCCAGGAGCAGCTTCTGCAACAGACAAACCGTCTATACAAGTCAAATAATGGGGAAATAATCGATAATTGAATCAAATCAAAATAGAATCGGACTGAAAAATCAATCGCTAGATTCATCGATTAGGAAAATAATTGTTTTGCCCAGCCCTAGATAACTCGGCAGAAGTAATATGAGGCAGTTTACAAAAAACAAAAAACAAAATCTGAACCGCTAGCATCAAAAAACAGAACCAATCTCAAGTCTATCTGCGCTATCAGTGCTTGCGTTGACAGCTTGGTTTGTCAAGGTACATTACCTTCATCCATCAGCTCTGCAGCACTCTCCCATGAATATCTTGAGTTGCTCAAACATTGCACAACAGCAGGGATAACCGTCTAGAAACGAGCAGGTTAAAGAGATGGTCGGGTCAGAGAGCTTTCCTCTGCTTTAAATCAGTGCCAGGAAATGAGGACGTGAGAGAGCTATTGTGTCTTTCTGGAGCTTCTTACTGGTCTGTACATGACTGTAGGATTAACTGACAGTGCAATCAAAGCATATCCCTACATGGATCTTTGGCTCCTCTGGGATATCCTGTCAGAAAAAGTTTGGCTTTCCGGCTCAGATTTATTACAAACGGGACTCAGTTTTCAGGTTTGCACAGTGGGAAGCTGATTCAAAGGTTTGGTTATTTAACTTCCAAGAAACACATGTAGAGACCTAGCAGGGTATCGATGAGCGGTTTCCCAAAACACAAACCTGTAGGACAGCTTCTTGATTTAGTTCCTACTGTTCACTGTAAATACAACATAGATTAAACTGATATTTTTGGTGGATTATACATAGACTTTTTGCAAACACTTTTATGGCTTAAAAACCTAATATAGTATAGTATAAATAGAGTTTTGGGGTTGATTCTGATTTTCTGCTTCAGCTGTAGCTGTAGGTGGATGTGCTCAAATTCACTAAAGTCAGCTTCTGGTTTTAGTCACTTCCTTAAAACATATATATGAAAAAGCATTTCAAGAATAATAAATCATAGTAGTGGCAGTGCTCATTATTTTAACCCTTTCACACATAGTGCTCACTACAGTGGGCAGCTAGTCAAAGGCTGTTTTCTTGTATTTGTGTCAGTGTTGATGGCACACTTGCACATAAACCACTAATTTGGACACTGATGTGTCCCTCCACACCCTGCCACCCACTGGCTGTTTAAGGTTACTATAGACAGTGTTGGGAAGGTTACTTTTAAAATGTATTCCATTACAGATTACAGAATACATGCCCCAAAATGTATTCTGTAACGTATTC